ATTGGCAGGCAATTGTTATACTTCTCGCCCTTTCAAGAGCTTTCTTGTTGATGATTATCCACAATCCATAATATCACTCGTTTTCTGCCTTCTTCACCTTTTCTTCTTCAATTAACTTCTGAAAACCTTCTGGGATTTTTCCTTCATCTATTTCTTTTGCCCACTGACGATACTGAAATTGAAAAGAATTGTCTAAAGATTCCTCTTACAAATAAAATCTTTCTGCCATAAATGAAGGTATTACAGGTCATATATCGTAAAAAGTTAAGAGCAATTAAAGTTATAAAAACGCACAAATTCAGAAAAAATATGTATAAGCTCAACAAAAAGGTATGGTTGTCAACCCACAGAAAATGGTATATAATTGGTTCACTTTTTTGCAACACTACCAAAAGTAATTACTTGGAATACAACTGTAAATAATCTTTACAGTAACTCACTGAAGGTCATTCATTTCTACTATATTCTCTACTGATCTGAACTTATGATTAGACCTTCTAAATACACAGGAAAGTTGTATGAGGAATGGAAAGGACTGTAACAGAATACATTTTTTACATTAACACTCTGATGATGGGTATGTCTATAGCTGTCATGGAAATCCTACCCTTCATGACAGGCATGTGTGTACGCATCATGACACACTCTAATTAAGTAAACGGGAAGGTCCAGCTGTGCACAGCAAACATCACGCCATAAAGGCTAGAAAATTCTGTGACTGTCAATATAGGGTCAAATGTTTAAATTATTTTTCTTTTCTTTTCAGCAGTATTTTGCATTTTCATCAAGGGATACACTGGGCTCTACATAAATTATGCAAGTCTTATTGAAAAACAAGATGGGGAGGAGGCAGTTGCCTCCCTACAAATACAAATCTTTCTGATTAACCTAATATCACCAAATATGATAATGTCATCATACTTAAATCTCGTATCCAGAGCGCAGTAATTTGGGGAGGCTGGAGCTGATGACAAGTGTTACATCTTGTTATGATCTGCTGTATAAGCATTTTGAAATAGAGGTAGGATGGTAAGATGTAGGGGGAAGAGATACTGAGACATCTTGGGAAGAAGGGAGAGGGTTAGAGTGAAGGACGGTGTTGGTAGCGTGAGAAAACCTTGTCAGAAAGCTTCTAGTCTGGCCTCTTAAAAGAGTGAGTCCTGTTTGAATCTGAGAACTGCTCCTTCAGACTCAAACTTGTAGGCAGGGTAGCTCCTATAAAACAAATTATAGGAGCCATCACAACTGGCACATTAATGTGATTTTACCGAGAAATTAGAATGTTCTTGACCACGTTGCACTCAAGCTTGACAGGGTGGCCAGGAATAGTGTAGCACTATAGTGATACTGCAATTTATTCAATGAGGCAGGTAAGTAGGTCATTTTCACAGTCTCACCAATCATTGTCATAGATGAAAAAATTCCAGCAAAAGTATTAATCTCTATGATCCAGATGATGTTAAGGTCCCATCATGGAATAATCTGGGTCGAGGGCTGGGTCATGTGAACATGCCATCATGAGCAAAGGCCAGTGATGGAAAAAACTCGCCACAAGTGCACAAACCTCATGGAGTGTGATTAGACTCATTTGGTTGTTAGAAGGGGGCTTTTGCATTATTCCTAACGATAAATGAATGTTGAATGTAAGGTGTATAATCCATGACAGGAAGAGTGCCAGCTCCAGAGAGGACACCATTTCCTAGCTGCATTGTATTCCTAGCCGCTGTGACTGGCGGCACAGGTTCATCATCATCATCATTGCAGAGCTAACGCCGACAGGGGCGCATAGCCGCATCCACCCTTAACTTGTACCTGCGAGGATCCCTCATGGCAAGTCGCCAGGCAGGGACTCGGCCCATCTCAAGCTCCTCACGACAGGTTTGATCGATCTGCCCAAGCCACGACTTCCTAGGTCAACCCACAGGCCTCCTCCACCCAGGGCTGTCTCGAAAATAGACAACCTGGTGGGCAGGTTCATCCTGAGCGAAGCGAGCCAGGTGGCCATAAAGCCTGAGTTGGTGATCACGGATTGTGCAGGTAATAGGTCCTGTGCCAGTTTCATGGTGCAGCCGTTGGTTGGACACATGGTCCTGCCAACAGTACCCCATGATCCGGCGCAAGGACCTATTACAAAAGGCATCAAGTCGAGACTCCAAAGCGCAGGATAGTGTCCAAGTTTCACTACTGTATAGCAAAACTGGCACTATCAGGGCCTTGAAGACACGAAGCTTGGTCCTTCTTCACAAGTACCGACATCTCCAAATACTCTTGGCGAGAGTTCATGACCCCTGCTGCCAGGCCAATCCGTCTGCTGACTTCATGGTCTGACAGCCCAGAGTTATGAACTACACTACCAAGGTATGTAAAGCTCTCTGTGACTTCAATGTCCTCGCTGCAAGCACGTACCGAATGAACAGGTTCTTCTAGTATGTCCCCAAAGTCCTGGATCTTGGTCTTGGTCCAGGAGACCTCTAGACCCAAGGGCTTTGCTTCACTACTAAATGCATCGAGAGCCACCACTAAAGATTCCAAAGACTCAGATAGAATGGCAACATCATCAGCAAAGTCAAGGTCGGTAACCTTGATATTGCCCAGAGTTGCTCCACAATGACTTTGAACAGTAGCTCTGCCCATTATCCAGTCCATGCACGTGTTGAAAAACCTCGGTGGTTGCTGCAGTCCCATCAGTCCCCCTTCCCCTTCCAGAGAGGGATAACCAAACCCCTCAACAGGTCAGGAGGAACGGTACCAGACCATCAGATGGCAGACAGGACAACATGCAACCCCCGCGCCATAGGTTCACCACCAGCCTTTAACAGTTCAGCTGGGATGCCGCATATACCAGCTGCTTTACCACTCTTCAGCTTGGAGATCGCCCCCCTAACTTCGGTTAGGGAGGGGGCATCCTCACTGATGGGTGGGTCTGGCAACGGAATCTCAGCACTACCCGCATCCAAGTTAACAGGTTGTATCATAGAAAATTGAAAATTATGAAAAATATGATCTATGACACAAATAACCAAATGTTTCATATTTCTTTTTCTTGCACTGACTTATTTACTTCATAGAGAGATGAAATGGAGTCTGTGCAAGGAAAAGAAACTATTATCATCTGGACAAAGAAAATCAAAAGACAAATATGGACATTGAAAAAATGGTAAAAAGCTAAAAAAGCCACCCTTTCAGCATGGCTCTTACACCTTAGCACATGGACAATAGAAGGGATTAAGGAAGAGAAGGAAAAGGAAAGGGGGAGAAGAAAAGACCATGCAAAATTGGTAGAGCCAAGGACTGAAGCCCAAGACAGAGGGTGATCCTCAACACTGGACCTCAGTACCCATCTCCAAGGCCACCCCCCCCTAACACAATAACAGGCATAAGACTGGGGGGGGGGTCAATTGATACAAGTAAAAGAGAATTTCTGGCATCTAACATACCTGATCTAATTCTCTGTGTAGTGCAAACACCGCCTTCTCACGATTTGCAACAAGTTCTTCCAAATATTGGTATCGCAGCTTTTTACGTGCACGGCATTCTCTAGCACTCTGCCGACTCCGTTCTGCATAAAATAATTAATATCAGATATTGTACAAATACAAAAATTACATTCTCTTAATGACTGGACAGAACAGAACAGAAGCATTAAAGTTATACTCAAATACAGCAACTGGTGACTGTAATACCTAGTTTGGCCTTCATATCAGACTTGGCTTTGCGTCCAGGTTTCCTTCCTCTCTTGGTGCCTTCCCGCTTGCTGCCCTGAAAGATCAAAGAACAAATTGAAGAAAACCAAAAAGACAATTACAGAAACGTATATATATACCTCTCTTACAAGTAATGCTGAGATGCTGTTGATTTCCAGATTTTTAATACAATATATTTGAAGAATGATTATAGAAGCTTTTGGTTTTTGGACTACATGGTGCTAGGTATGGCTAAAGCTGTCATGGTCTCCCCGTCTCGTTGTGCCAGGGACGGCCATAGCTGTGCTGGTGTTTTCTCTTTTGATCTCTTATATTCTACTGTTTACCAAAGTTTTAGCATATTTTTGGGTGTGTTAGTGAGAAGAAGAACCTGTCTGATGTCATTTATTCTAACCAGCTGCGCTGATAAACCATAGGGAGGGTATTTTATTAGTCTGATGCAGGATGCTTGTTGGGCCCGGGCAAGCAGATAGTGGACCCGTCACTCCAGCTTTCTTTTTACTGCTCCTGGAGGCCTCAATCTTCCCTTGCCATCTGCTCCCTAAGTTTTAAGGAAGAGAAGGCGGTGGATGGCCCAAGACCTCCAACTTCCAGGGGTGTTCCTCACCTGAGGAATGCACCTGACCCTATCCTTTACCTCTTTTATCATTCCTCTAACGAGGAATATGTGGAATCGGAAGAATACACATTGCCAACAAAACAGCACAGGACCATGAGTCATTCCGGTGAGTTTTCTCACATCATTTGATTTTTAAAATGTACAATCTGGCTTCTTTGACATACTGCCTTCTGTTTTTATGTAGTTTTACTAATTTTAAGGAAAAGTCATGTTTTTCGTATGCTTGTACAGATCCTCAGGTCCCCCTCAGTGATAATTCCAACTGGGATGACAGCGACACAGAGGACGATTCCAACTGGGAGGACAGCAACTCGGAGGACTGCAACTCGGAGGACGAGTCCGAGGTTGTCTGACTGTGAGTCGGAGGAAGAATTTGTGCCCCTGGACACTTCATTGGACTCTGATGAGAATATTACCAAGTATGTCAAGTGCCACAGGGCTCGTACCACCCCTGGTATCTCCTCCTTTGTCTGGAGGAAGTGGGAGAACGAGCCACGGTCCTTCAACTTCACTGCAGCTCCTGGGGTCAAGGTTCCTGACCCTGGATGCTGAATCAAGCTCTGTAGAGGTCTTCGAGAAGTTCCTGACAGAGGAACTCTTAGAAAAGATCGTTCTAGAGACAAATCAGAAAACACATCATCTAATGTTACTTGTTTGATGGTTTGAAAATATATATTTACAATTTCTCCTGCTCTGGCTCTGGCAAACATGATTTTTTCAACACCAATTCTCTTCCTCCTGAAAATACGTTGCACAGCATCCTCGAACGAGACGAGACCTCTGGTCTGAAGACCCTTTGATGTTGTCAGCGATTTTCCAGTAGACAATGACAGGTTCTATGCCTTTGCATCGGCACTGCACTTCGCAGACAATCAAGCTAACCGTCCTGCTGATGATCAGCATCAGAAGTTTAGGCCCATAGTGGATGTTCTCAACCAACAGTTTAGGAGCTTCTTTGTGCCCAACAGGGTTGTATCCATTGACGAGAACCTTTGGGCCTTCAAGGGGTGCCACCAGGTCTACAGTTTGTCCCAAACAAAAGAGCATGCAGGGGTCTGAAAGTCTATAAGCTCTGCTTGAGCAATGGACTAGAGGCTGGCTACACCACCACCTTCCGCATTTATATGGGGTAGGATCGTGGGGAGCTCCCAACGAGCATGAAGGTAGTTGTAGACCTTTTGGAGAGAGGGCTTCATAGACAAGGGGTACAAAGTATGTACTGACAACTGATACTCGTCCCCTAGTGTGTTCTACCCACTGTAGGACAGAAAGGGCGAGGAAGTGTAGACTTCCGCAGTACAGACTCAGGTATGCTCTCCCTTCAGTGGATGGACAAGAGGCCTGTCGCCATGCTCTCCACAGTCCACACCAGCGAAATGGTAGCTCTTCCTCCTAACCGCCCAGGAATCCGTAGAACTAAGCACAAGGTTGTAATTGACTACAACAACGGCATGAAGGGAGTTGACCTCAGCAACCAGCTTTCCCAGTCCTACAGGTCCATGAGAAAGACTGTCAAGTGATACAAAAAAGTCTTTATCAATCTCCTGGGCATGGCAGTGGTAGACTTCCTGGCTGTACACCAGATCCTTGGCTGAAAGATGACACAGGCAGACTTCAAATTAGAACTTGTAAGAGGTCTGCTCAAGGAAGAAGAACACCAAAGAAGGAGGTCCTCCTGAGGACACTCCATTCAGAAGATGGTAACAGTATGCCCATTGCTAGAAGATGAAAGGGAAGAGGAAGGAGACACGGGTGATGTGTCGCACCTGTGGGGCCTCCATGTGCGCTTCACCATGCTTCTGGGAGTACCACACGACTCTACCTGCTCCCGGAGGCATAGAATTTTGTAATTGTATTGTAAATATTGTAAATTTTGTTTGTTTTTATTCATTTCCAGACAATTTTCTTCACACAGTAATCTGCCACACTCCTAACCGCCCAGGAATCCGTAGAACTAAGCACAAGGTTGTAATTGACTACAACAACGGCATGAAGGGAGTTGACCTCAGCAACCAGCTTTCCCAGTCCTACAGGTCCATGAGAAAGACTGTCAAGTGATACAAAAAAGTCTTTCAATCTCCTGGGCATGAAGCCTATAATACAATACAAGTCAATGATGTTTTACAGAGAACACAGTATATGGCTGCAATAATACTCCAAATATCAACATAGAGCAATATGTAGTTTCCAAAAATGCTCGCCTGATCAAACTGAAAATTATTGAGGCCATCAAGTAAATCGTCCCGGCAGAATGACTTTCTGGGGGAAAAAAATGGCCATCACCATGGGGTTAAATTTTCAGATTAAATCCTAGTGTATTTTTCTGACAATGCTGAGTAATAGAAAAGGGATACTTACCCATCAAAATGCACATAAAGTTATATCCCTCTCTAGATTACCACACTGATACTTGGGGCCATGTTTATAGGGTTGGTTGGTTGCAGTCTCAGGCCTTTGTTTATGTAAAAAAAAAAATAATTATAAAATTGGTTTTATCATTTTTTTTAACAACAAAGTGTGTAATTGCACACCCCCTTTGAATAGTTTGATAAATTGGTAACAGTAAAATACAAAGAAAAATGAATAAACAGTGTTAATCTACAAAATATCATAAAGAATAATTATACAAGAAATGTATGTAACGTAATGGATGAACATCTATATAACTATTGGCCTATATTACAAAATATAAATTTTAGTAACAGTTACTCTTACAGTCAATAAAATTGAGAAAAAATAAAATAAGATTTCATTGGCAGCTAACATATTCTTTTGAAAAATCACATTTTATACTTCGTTTTAATTATATATTTGCGATGTAATTTAAAGTTTATGTTAAGGGGCACACCAACCTGTGCCTTGTAACTCCCAATCCTAAATATGGCTCTCCTAATTCTGCATTTGACCTTGACTTATCGTGTGCCATTGTCACTCTTACGCAAACCAAGTCACCAAAGCTTTATTTCTATTTCAAAGGTTAATTTAAGGAAGATACAAATTCTATTCAAAACATCCTTTGAAAGTGTGTGAGTGTGGGTGTGAGTGTGTGTTTGTGTGTATGTATATCTACATTTAAAACATGTCTATCTTATACAATGGACTGAGTACATCATCATTCCTGTTAAATAAACCTAACTCATCCTTATATGAAACATCCCTTGACTTCCAGTCATGTTT